CCCGCGGATGCAGGCGACCCGCCCCCGGACGCCGAGGCGGGGCCGCCCGCGGGGCGCCCCTGGGGCGAGGGGGGGCGGCGGGCGAGGAACGGCCCCGTGCTGGTCAGGGGCAGCGTCTCGCGGGCGGCTTGTTTCCCTCAGTCCCCGAGTTCCGCCCGAGCAGTTGGCCGCTCAGAGAAGGGAGGAGGAGGAGGAGGAGGAGGAGGCGGAGGAGGAGGCGGAGGAGGAGGCGGAGGCGGAGGCGGAGGCGGAGGCGGAGGCGGAGGAGGAGGAGGAGGAGGCGGAGGAGGAGGAGGAGGAGGAGGAGGAGGAGTGGGCCCGTTGTTCGCTCGTTCGCGGGTTTGGGATTCGGTCTTGAATGAAAGGAGGAGGAGGAGGACGATAATGGGAATGGGAATGGGAATGGTCAAATCGCGAAGCGAAAGGATTAATGAAGGAGGGATGGGGCTTCTGGCTCGTTGCTCCGACAACGACAAAAGCTTTGGCCAGAGCCCATCCTCGATCCTGTTTGAAGAATATTTCCGGGATTTGTTGGTTCTATGTAAACATTCGGATGCAATCCCTCTAATCTGGTCGGAGGAGTAAAATCCGCAGGTTCCGCAAAACCAGAGCTTCAAGGATTCACGAAACCGAAGGTTATGAGAGGAATGCAGCCCCCCCCGCACGATGGACTTAACACCCTGGAGGTATACTTGAAACAACGCCGTCGACATGCTGCAAAGAAACACAGGGCGTTTTAAGCCAGTCGTTGAGACCTTTTTTGGTCGCGGACCCTTTACATCTCGAACACTGGCGGCCACTATCATCAAGGATATGCTTGGTGGAAAATCTGGTCACAGTTGACGGGGCAGGCGGAATGACACGGCATTTCTCGAACTCACGCCAAGGCCTCGGGTCAACGCTCATGGCATGCATTGTGGCCCGTAACAGCCTTCGCCTGACCAGCTCCGCTCTTTTCTCATGAACTGCAACGCGTGTGCGCACACATTGAGGCAGCCTGTGCTCCTTGGTTGCCTGGCCAGCAAGCTCGTCCGCTCGCTTATTACCGTGCCACATTCACGGTGCATATCCTCGCTCTGCTGCTTCATTTTCCGGCAAATGTGAATTCATGAAAATGACTGAAATTCGCCCGTGTCGAGATTCAGTTGCATGCCTATGTCGAGCGATGGCTTGCCACAGGTCACAGGGGGGGGGGGTCATGATTTGTCGCAGGAGCGTCGGACTGGTGGTCGTGGCGATGTTGCTTGCACTCGACTTCCACAGGTGGCTGGGAGGTTGAAACGTCATCAAGGTTGGTATTCTTGTATGTGCCCTGGCTGTTGGTCTGGTCACTTTTCGTCCTGGCACTTAGCTGGCATGATCGCCGTCGACGGGTGATCGGTTGCGGTCGCAAGCCTACACATTGCGGTTTTGCCCATAAGGCTCTCTTTCGGCTGGGTCTGGTTGTCGGCATCTACCATTGCCCGAAGGTGCCGTCGGGCCGACGACATGAGAATATGAAGATACGCAGATCAGGCCGTCAAGTCTTCACGTCTTCAGGTCGTCGGCGTTGGCGTTGGCGGCCTCCATGCTTGCGGGGCCTGCTTGCGGAACAGCCCCTGAGCAGCCCGCCAAGAGAAGCCTCAGGAGGTACAGATGGCCCACAAAAGAGACCCCAAGACACGCCTGAGGAGTCTTGCAAGCGACAATCTTTGAGGTGTGGCCCCAGAAGCCCCCAAACCGCTCCCCTAGACTGGCGAAGACGCCCCGGGGTCGCCCGAGCAACCACGAAAACGCCTCCAGGTCCAGCCCACGCGACATTCCCCACGGAATCAGTCCCGCACGGTCTCATCGCTTTGGACTCCAGGGTGTTTTTCATCAGAGCGTGAATGACCTACCCCGCTTTCGCTTCCAGGCAAAACCAAGTCATACCACGCGCCTCCTCGTCAAGCGGCATGACCAGTACAGGCCGTAGTTTGGCATCGCTTGGTATCTCTTGGAAGCGAGGGTGATCAAAAGCGGGGTAGGTTTGTTTGCCCCCTATTTCAGGAGGCCCCACCTGGCCGAAGGCGCTCTGGGGGCCCTCGTTGGCTTCGGCTGCTGCGCCGCCCCGGCGGCCTCCCCCTGCGCCCTCCCCCTGGCACGCGCGGGTCTGCCCACCGTTGGGGGCGGGCGGCGGCTCGCCGGAGACGGCCCTCACGGTGAGGATCGCCAGCTGTTTTTTCTCCACGGGCGTGGGCGCTCAAGGTCGGGAAGAGAAAAGAGGGGGGTGATGACTAGGGGGGGGTGGATATCATGGCGTGGGCCATGATGTTTCCCCAGATTTCATGGCGCGTCTTCTCATTTCATTACGTCCCTGGCCCCCCCGTTGGGCCGCGCACATGCCGCCGGTCATGATTTGCACCCCCCCCTCTTGGACACCCCCCTCTTGGCCGCTCCCGACAAGGGCATACGCGGTTGAGCTTGGAAGCCTTCGCGGCGGTTCCGCAACCGTGGTCGCCTCTCAGCAACCAACGCGCCCCCCGTAGGAACGGTCACGTTTGGGGCGCCGATCCCTTTGAAAGAGTGTGCAGGCGATCCCGAAACGAAGGAGAAGGGAGGACGGAAGCGACGCGTTGCGACGCGAAGGAAGAAAGGAGTCCCGGGACAACGGCGTGAGAAGACAGAAGAAACAGATCTTGAGAGGAAGCCGTAGGTTTCGCCAGAGTCCAGAATAGCGAAATCCGAGCCGACTTGTTGCGACAGGCCGGTCCCTCACTTTCTTTGTCCCTTGCACATGTTTCAGGCCCTGGTCATAGAATCTGAGGAAAGGTCCATCGAGAGCTCCGTTCTGAACAAGAAAGTACCAAGGCGGCCCAAGATAGGCCGAAAACAATTCCGAAACGGCCTCACGAAACCACAAAGACGGACCCGCCAACATACGTCCAAGAGCTTCCGCGATGGTCTAGGAGCCCCCTGACGCGCCCCATGGCCCGTTCAGACGGCTCCACGCCCGTCCACAGAGCCAAGGGACATTTCAAGCGAGGCCCTGGAAGGGCATTTTTGGGTTACCTGGGGGCCCTGCAGGGCCCTCTTGTCTCCGCTCATCGGCGTCTCCTCTGCCCTCTTGAAGCCATCTTTGACTTCAGAGTAACGTCTCCGGAGTCGGCTAGAACCTAAGCGCGCGCGTAGCGCGCGCCTGGTTCTAGTAGATATATGTTTGTACATATGTACATATATTTATACATGTACATTTTTCACAGGTGTATATGTATGTATATCGAAATATATGTATTTACGTGTACCTATGAACATGTGTATATATGAGTCGTATCGACTTCGCGGTCCGCCAGGAGGGTTAGGGAAGGGAAGGAATTGTGGCGATCGACGTTCGCACGATCATGTCGGGCACGTTCCTGCAGCAGCAAATTATATCATTCGTCGTTGAGGCCATCGCCAGGGACGAGGGTGTCGAAACGCTGGCGCGCTTGGTCTCAGATGGCACGCGGCCGTCAGGACCCTGACGCAGGCTGGAGCAACCGCAACGAAGCGGCATAGGAAGCGCGGGGGGAGGAGGGAGGGATTGGACCAGGATGCATCGTTCTAGAGGCTTCCGGAACGCTCTTGGCATGCTGCGGGCAGTGCCTGCGCCAGCGGTTGCGGTCTCAGCAGGGGCCGCCGCGCGGGTTGGGCTGGCCGCTCTTTCGGGCTCAGCTGTCGGAGCGAAGGCATGCGAGAGCATCCTCTGTTCACCAGCCCGGCACATGCGCCTATCCTTTCAGGAGCGAAAGAAGGACGTACACGTACATGAATCCACGCTGTTTTCGAGATTTCGCAATGCGCGAATGCGCGTATCACGCTGCCGGTCTCGCGGGTCAAGGGGCCGTGTTCATGTACATAGCTGGGCGCGTACGTCCTTTGTGGGCTCCCTATCCTTGTGACCGGCATGTTCTCATGTTGCCGATCTTGACGAATCCTTTAGCTTCTTCCGGTGGCAAATCATGGGATCCCTGGGTGTCCTCGGCATTCGGTTGTTAGAACGTCTTCGCGTGCGTTCGCGTCTGGCAGTCGATGCGAGCGCGCCGATTTAGTGGCGATCGGCAAGCGTCGATTCGCGAAGATTGGTGACGACTGGCGTCGATGAGCGTTGCCTCGCAAGGGCCAACAAGATGGTAATGGGAGGCCGCCACGAGTTGCCACCGAGCGCTGCTCACCAGCCCGACGCACACGCCTACAGGATCTGGCTTCAATGAGGAGCACTTGCTCTTCAAAAGGGGCTCGGCCGTTCCTTTGGTTTGCACGCGTTCCGCTACTCTTTGGCGGCGAGCCTCCCTGGTGTTCCTTGGAAAAAAGGGGCTTCGTTCCTTGTTTATCGTTAAGATAGTCCGCATCAGTTAGATTACCATCGCTTTGGACCAGACTCAGGAACAGTGATGATATCGAGGCCGGCTAGCTGCGTGCAGGGGCGGGGGGCGGAGGGCGGGGAAGACGTGGGAGACGCTGCCCTCAGGAGGCCTCGTCCTTGACTCCAATATCCCATAACAGTGTGTTGCATTTGAGGCAGCGGCCCTTTGGGCCATGAGGTATGGGTTATGACGCAGTGTTTGCAAGCGTGGCCAGACACGTTTTGAGGGAACAGTGCACCAGTCGCTATTTGGGTTCCTCTGGTCGTTCTACTCCTCGCCTCCCCCTTGTTTTCATCGTTCCCTTGCCTTGTTGGGAAGCTGGCAGTTTTCATCATCGCGTGTTCGCTCAGAAAAAATACGACACTGCCCTCAGGAGACACTCGATCGAAATCGTTCGAAAACCGATAGAAGGGGGACACCTCGATCGATCGGCGGGGAATTTCTCGATATGTCGGTCCTTGATCGACTTTCGATCGGTCCTGAAATCGACGACTATTGGCAATCGACGAGGACAGGACGACGATCGGCATCGGAGTTCGACGTCGACGATGACGGCGGAGGGTCGACGATGGATTCATCTCCTTCCCCTCTCTTTCTCCTCGTCCTCACCTGGAGCCTTCTTCTGCCGCGTCGCAGGTGTTTTTTTACAAGCCCGTCAAGTCGGATCCCGTCGACTGCCTCCTGGCGGCCAGCCTCCTGAGGCGCGACGAGTCCCGCCCGGCTGCTGCTGTCCCACTCCCTTTTTCCCCTCCTCCTCTTCTTACCCCTCGGCCTGGTCATCCCCTGGTGAGCGGGAAGGAGGCCAAGAAAGCGGCACCCAAACAACACATTGGTACGCGTGCTGTGCCCGTGACGCTGAAGCTCGGTGGGTGACATGGAGGGTGGGCGAGAGCGGGGGAGGGGTCAAGGAATGATAAATAGACGCAAGACGCAAAAAATCGAGGATGGAACATTCGGGAAGTGGAGGGGAAGACGACGATCCAGAACATATGGAAAGATCTGAGGGATCTGGGACTAGTGTCTTTTTTTTCCCAACCCTCCTTGGTTGGGTATTCGTTTTGAATAGAGCAGTGTGGCCGCGTCCTTCCTCCTCCCGCCTCCCGCCTCTTTCCTGCCTCTTTCTGTCTTGCCTGCGGGGGGCTGTGAAACTGTCGCCAGTTTCGAGGCCTGCTGGGGGGTCCAGCATAGAGGGTAATCGCGGCAGATCCAAATTAGACCTCGCCATTCCTGGGGGGCTGCGATCTGTGAAACTGTCGCCACTTTCGAGGCCTGCTGGGGGGCTCAGCATAGAGGGTAATCGCGGCAGATTCAAATTAGACCTCGCCATCCCTGGGGGGGGGGGCTGCGATCTGTGAAACTGTCGCCACTTTCGAGGCCTGCTGGGGGGTCCAGCATAGAGGGTAATCGCGGCAGATTCAAATTAGACCTCGCCCTCCCTGGGGGGCTGCGATCTGTGAAACTGTCGCCACTTTCGAGGCCTGCTGGGGGGCCCAGCACAGTGAGGGCCACGCGCGGATTCAAATTAGACCTCGCCATCCCTGGGGGGCTGCGATCTGCGAAACTGCCGCCATTTTCGAGGCCTGCTGGGGGGCCCAGCACAGTGAGGGCCACGGGCAGATTCAAATGAGACCTCGCCGTCCCTGCGGGGCTGCGATCTGTGAACCTGTCGCCACTTTCGAGGCCTGCTGTGATCCCCGTTTTCGAAGTGGCTAGGAGTGCTCAGGAATTGTAAATCATCAGCTTTCTCAAGCCCTTTTCCTGTAGCCAGTGTCCTGCGAATCTCCCGAATTCCGTCTGCAGACATATGTAACCCTCGCTCCGTCATCGCCCCCTTATAAAGTATCCTAAACTATTTTGCGCCCCGCTTTTGCGCAGGGGTTGGGTACGTCGCCAGGGTAAGTTTGTGTGTGTGTGTGTGAATGTCCCTGGGCCCCTTCAAGGGGGGAGGGGATGAGGGTGCCTGCTTCGCCTCCCCTGTCCTGACCTCCCCTTGCCTCTTTTCTGCCCCACCCCCATCCACCCTGCTTCCCCCCTGTCCTCCCCTCCGATCCGTCTTCTACTACTTCTCCTCCTCCTCCTCCTCCTTACTCCACCGCCCACTCGATTTCGGGCTTCGCCAGGAGGACAAAGGCTGGGGTGCTGCAACTGGGGCGCACCAGCGCGAGGAGGGGATTTCTGCGCCGTCGGATGCGGAATCCGCGGATTCAGGCTCTGAAGGGGGAGCCTTTGAGGAATCATTTGTTTTCTGGCCGTGAACGAACGGCCCCGCCGAGGCGCAATCGCAGTCACCCTTCAATCGGCGTCCTCTTATTCGTCGTCCTCTTCGTCGGCGTCGTCGTCGTCCTCCTCGTTCTCCTCTTTGGCGCTGCCGCTTGTCGTCGCTGATCCCCTCGTCGTGCGCAAGGCTAACCTGGAATTCTAGAATCTTCGTCCTCGTCGTCATCCGCTTCGTTTCTCTCCTCCCGTCCTCCTACGGATCCAAGATTTCCCTGTTCGGTGCATAATCAGATCCAACAGTCTTCCTCGAGCATTCGGGCAGCCTCCCAATCGGCAGATCTGCCACAATGCACCGTTCCAGAGCCTGCTACACGCTGATCCTGCTCCTCGCCCTCTTCGTCCCCCTCCTCCTCCTCCTCCTCCTCCTCCTCCTCCTCCTCCTCCTCCTGCTCCTCCTCCTCCTCCTCCTCCCCCTCCTCCCCCTCCTCTTCCTCCTCCTCCCCCTCCTCCTCCCCCCTCCTCCTCCTCCCTCCTCCTCCTCCTCCCCATCCTCCTCCTCCTCCTCCTCCTCCTCCTCCTCCTCCTCCTCCTCCTCCTCCTCCCCATCCTCCCCCCGCCCCGACAGGCTAGACAGAGAGCCGCCCCCTGCGCTCGAGCTGTCGCGGGTGGAGCCAGGCCTCTACCGGCTCGGCGCCTCCGGGCCGAGGCGCCTGCCCCCCCGCGGGGCTTCTCCTGGGCTCCCGCCGCCGCGGCGGTGCCCTCCTCCGCGTCCGGGGCAGGGCACGACCCTCGTGATCCTCGATCCTCCTCCTCTTCCTCCTCTTCCTACTCCTCCTCTTCCTCCTCCCCTTCCTCCCTTCCTCCTCCTCCTCCGCCTCCTCCTCCTCCGCCTCGTCCACCTCTTCCTCCTCCTTCTCCTCCCCCTCTTCCTCCTCCTCCTCCTCCTCCTTTTCCTCCGCCTCCTCTTCCTCCTGCTTTTCCTCCTCCTCCTCCTCTTCCTTTTATTCCTCCCCCCTCCTCGGGGTGCGTCCTGGCAGCTGAGCGTTCCGTGGGTGCCTGCATCGTCCCGATCGGCCGCCCGCGAGCCGAGTGACATCACCCGCAGAAGCAGAGCACTGCGACGGTGGCACGCCGCTGTTGGGAGCCTGTCGGCGTGCCGACACATTCGTTGTTGTTCGATTTCCTGGTGTCTTTTTAGTAGTGACTCGGGGGCCCCCAGACGGGGTGGTGACCACACCGTGTGGTGAGTCGGTTGGGATTCGGGGTCGCCGCACGGTTTTGGGACCTGGGTCGTTCTCCGAGGACGTCTCGGGCGATTGGGGCATCCGAGGTCCCCAAACCGTGCGTTGACGAACCGTGCGGTGAGGTTTGGGGGGATTTCGAGGTCGCCGCACGGTCTGTCACCGCACCGTTTCGGGACTCCAAAGTGACGCGCTGATAGGTTCCCCACGGCTGCGTGTTATTGATGCTGCTCATGCTCCCCAAGTTGGTTTGTGCGTGTTTGTCAGTGTGTGTGTGTGCTTATGTGTGTGTGTGCGTGTGTGTGTGTGTGTGTGTGTGTGTGTGTGTGTGTGTGTTTGCTCGAATATTCCACCCTGGCGGCAGGCAGCCCTAAACAGCACAGTTGTGCTGCACACGCGGGTCACGATATGGGAGGTCATATCGGACAGCAGGCAGGATGCAGACGTCAGCCACGCGAAAAGGGAGGCAGGGGGAGGGGGACAAGGCCTCTTAGAAGCACACCGAATTCTCAGAAGGCGCGGGCCTGATCTGTAGATACGGAGCGGCCGCCTTCTAAGAGGCAGCCTCCTTCCAAGAAGCCTTCCCCCTTCTCAGGCTCCCACTGCCCCTTGTGCGCGGGGGACCATGCTGGAGGCCACTGGCCACGACGGGCCGCAGAGTCTGGATCCGGATGCGCACACGCCTGGCCGTAGACCAATGATACAGGGTCAACGCGGGCCTGTCCCTCTGCAGGAAGTCTATTCGAAACTACAGTCGGGGCCCTGAAGAAGGCCTTTTCGTTGGGGAGGGGCTCCGTGTTCCTTGATTGCTTCACAGTTTGCCTTAGGCTTTCCTTTGGTTTTCGAAGGTAAATCGAAGTTCAACTTCTGGAGACAAGGGGCCTCGTTCCTTATTTTGGGTTCCTTAGGTCAACGCCCCGACTGTAGTCACAAATAGTCATGGGGCGATGTGTCGGTTCTTTTGTCCGAAGTAGGAGGGCTATTTTTTACAAGTGTCAAGGTTCGTCCAACATCCGCCTGTAGGAGGACATGCCCTACCTAACCTTCGACACATGGTATAGGGCCCGTGTAGTCGAGATCTTCAGTGGCACAGGATTCATCATCCAGCTGCCTGCGGAACGTCCAGCCACCGTGCCAGTCCAGCATGTTGGGTGGCGTCATTTCGAGGGGGCACGGGATGCCATCACGCGTGACACTTAGGGCCTTTTGAAGGCTCTGGGTGCTTCTTGAGGGGCTCCTCTTGGGGCCTCTTGGGGACTCCTTGGGCCGTCTGAGGGCGCTCTTGCCCAGGAGCTTTCTCAGGGACCTTAAGGGCCGTCGGAGCGCCTTCTTGGGCCGACTTAGGGTCCTCTTGGGCCTCTCTTGGGCCATCTTGGCGAGCCGTCTTAGGGGGTCCCTTGGTGCCCTCTGGGCCCGTCGAGACGCCATTTTGGAGGCTTCGTGCTGTCTCTCGAGCCAGCGAAAGCTCGAAACGTCTATAATGCGAGGGCCCTTCAAACACACATGGAAGCTTCTTGATGCTGGCCTCTTCGCGCCCCATCGGAGGCCTCCTGGGCAATCTTGGAGGCCGTCTCGAGGCCGTCGTGGGCCACCCGAGGCCGTGACGGAGGAGTTCTGGAGTCCATCTTGGCGGCCTGGGTGGCCTGCCGGGCTCGTCTTGGAGTCCTCTTGAGGCGTTTCGGACACCTTGGATCGGGGGTGGACAAACCTCCTACCCTGACACGTCGATCAAGGAATTGGCCGTTTTCGGTTCGCGAGGAGGCGCCGCGGCCGTCATTTTTGCGGGGCCAGGTCCGTCGGTTTCGGTCCCAGGCCGTTTTCACTAAGGGGAGGTTTACTAAAGGGAGGTTTGTCCAGCGCCGATTGGAGAGTGCTAGGGAGGTCTTGGGCGCCCAGGGACGCCCATGAGCAGGGGTGGTGCACGCGCCTGGGTGCGGCGAGAGGGGAGGGGCATCAAGACTGCATATATTTTTGTTCACGTCGGCGGCTGGGCAGTGGGTGACTGCGTTGGCGATGGCTGCAGAAGCACGCCTGCACGGCACAAGGCACGGTGGCGGATTGTACATCGGAGGTTGAGGGGTGAGATCGAAGAGGATCGTGGAACCCCCATAGACCAGGATAACGGTTTGATGGTTTCGTGTTCGTGCTTTGCGTGAAGGCGAGGCAAAGCTGCGAGCGCGGGCGAGAGGAGTGTTCCCGCCGTTGCAAGGGCGAAGTCGAAGCAAATCTTCCTCCGCCCCCCGGATGGCGCATGCCGCCTCGTAGTTGTCCCGCGGTTGTCTCGCGGTCGTCCAGATGGCTGCCACGAGGGTTGGCACGATGGTTGTCTCGTGGTTATCCCGATGGTTGTCGCGCAGTTGATACTTGTTCCGTTGGTTGTGCTGGTTGTTGTTCCGATGGTTGTGCCGATGGCTCGGCCAGGGCATAACAGGATTTTATGCGTGTACGCGTATACATATTACATATGCATCGCTGTGCATGTCAGAGTGAATGGGCCCAATGGTCATTCACTGTCCCTGGGTGCGTGACTGAAGTGGCTTCCCAAGGCCAAAGCATCCGCACCGCGTGTTCTACTTATACGGGTTGTGGCGCCACGAGGACCATAGGAACACATAGGAATCGCGGGCAGTCCGTTGAACCAATCGGGGCAGATAGGGACCGAAGCCAAGCCCAAACCCCAACCAAGCCTCGACCGTCCATGGGTGACACGCCACCCTGTCAGTAGCAGAAGCAGCCGTAGTAGTAGTAGTAGTAGTAGTAGTAGTAGTAGTAGTAGCAGTAGCAGTAGTAGTAGTAGTAGTAGTAGTAGTAGTAGTAGTAGTAGTAGTAGTAGTAGTAGTAGTAGTAGTAGTAGTAGTAGTAGTAGTAGTAGTAGTAGTAGTAGTAGTAGTAGTAGTAGTAGTAGTAGTAGTAGTAGTAGTAGTAGTAGTAGTAGTAGTAGTAGTAGTAGTAGTAGTAGTAGTAGTAGTAGTAGTAGTAGTAGTAGTAGTAGTAGTAGTAGTAGTAGTAGTAGTAGTAGTAGTAGTAGTAGTAGTAGTAGTAGTAGTAGTAGTAGTAGTAGTCGTATAGTAGTAGTAGTAGTAGTAGTAGTAGTAGTAGTAGTAGTAGTAGTAGTAGTAGTACTACTAACAGTAGTGGTAGTCGCCAGCGTCGTAGTAGTCGTGGTAGGAGTAGTAGTAGTAGTAGTAGTAGTAGTAGTAGTAGTATTAGTAGTAGTCGTAGTCGTAGTCGTCGTAGTAGTAGTAGTAGTAGTAGTAGTAGTAGTAGTAGTAGTAGTAGTAGTAGCAGTAGTAGTAGTAGTAGTAGTAGTAGTAGTAGTAGTAGTAGTAGTAGTAGTAGTAGTCGTCGTCGTCGTCGTAGTAGTAGCAGTGTAGTAGTAGTAGTAGTCGTAGTAGTAGTAGTAGTAGTAGTAGTCGTAGTAGTAGTAGTAGTAGTAGTAGTAGTAGTACTAGTAGTAGTAGTCGTAATCGTATCCGTAATACTAGTAGTAGTAGAAGAAGTAGTAGTAGTAGTCGTAGTAGTAGTAGTAGGAGTAGTAGTAGTAGTAGTAGTAGTAGTAGTACTAGTAGTAGTAGTAGCAGTAGTAGTAGTAGTAGTAGTAGTAGTAGTAGTCGTAGTAGTAGTCGTAGTAGTAGTAGTAGTAGTAGTAGTAGTGGTCGTAGAAGTAGCAGGTGTAGTAGTAGTAGCAGTAGCCGTAGTAGTAGTAATATTGGTCGTAGTAGTCGTAGTAGTCGTAGTAGCCGCAGTAATTGTAATGTCGCTACTGCTAGCATTACTATTACAACAACGACTGACTCTACCACTACCACTGCTTTACCGCGACTACGACTGCCACTACTACTACTACTGCTACTACTACAACTACTTCTACGACTGTTACTATGACTACTATCAGTATTGCTACTACTACTACTACTACTACTACTACTGCTACTGCTGCTGCTACTACTACGACTACACCTACCAGTACCCTTCCAACAATACCTACTGCCATTACTACCATTACTACTTTTACTACTACTACTACTACTACTGCTACTATTACTACTACTACCACTACTACCACCACCACTACTACTACTACTACTATTATTACTACTACTACTACTACTACTACGACTACTACTACCACTACTACTACTACTACTACTACTACTACTACTAGTACTAGTACTAGTACTAGTTTTAGTACTAGTACTAGTACTAGTACTAGTACTAGTACTAGTAGTACTACTACTACTACTACTACTATTACTACTACTACAGTTACTGCTACTCGCAGCATTGCCCAGATTCAAACGGCTGGCATTCGAATTTCTATTCGTAGTACAACTGCGATCGCGAGCCTTATTCTGATTACCATTACCATCATTGATACACCGTCTGATCACTTTTTGGTCTGCTCTATCATTGTACGGCCAATCCTTGTATTATGCCTTTTTTTCTGTTATCACTATTGCAACGG